GGTGCTTTGAGTAGGAGTGTGCGATGAGCTCTCTGTCCATCGGCCACTCCACCTGGGCTCTGCTTGGGATCACCCAGCAGCAGACGAAAGAAGGGCTGTCGGGGGACTGTTGGCGCAAATGCAGATTTGAGGTCCATATCCTGCTGTGCCTCTTCACTGATAAGTAGGTCTACGTTTTCCATATGGGTGTTGAGCGTTGAATGAGTCTGCCCTTTCTGATCCCAGACGAGTCCAGTTGTGACAATTACTACATGGCAGCCAGGGATGTATGATGCCGCGTCGCTTGCCCTCAAGTCATAGTCTGTGCAGGCTATGTTGGTTTCTGCCTCTTCTCTGCTGACTGGCCGCACGAAGTATCTCTGGTGATCTGGTCCAAGGTCAAAGGCTGTGAGTAACTTGGTGATTGCCCGGCCTGCCGGATTCTCTTTGTGTACTACTGCGATCTTAAGGTGCGTGGTAAGAGCCAGCCAGGCGAGTAGAAAGGTCAGGGATCGGGTCTTGCCTGCACCAAAGACTCCCGCTACTGCAAGGGTAGATCTGCCAGATCGGAGAGCAAGCGCGAGGCTGGCAGCCATCGACACTATGTGCCCGTTGTCATGTCGGGCGGCGGTGCCTAGTGCCACAGCGAAGCTGGCAGCTTGGGGACAGTGTTGCATTGTGCTGCCAGAGGTCAGCAGCTGGAAGAGGGCATGCAGACTCTGCAGTAGGACTACTGTGCTCTCTAGCTGATACGGAATGGGCACTTGGCCGGGAATTCCCAGCACAGTGGGCTTATGTTCTGCCGCTAAGCTGGTCATTTGCAAGAGGTGATCTGCAGTGACTGTGTCACCTGCTTCCGCGATGGCCAAAACTCGGATCCGCGTTGCTCTAGATTCCAACACGCAGAGGCTGGGCGGGAAAGCCCATGGAGCAGAGCACGCCAGGCCAGTCTCAGCTGACGTGGGCAACGGCACAAACTCTTCCGGGAACGGCACTAAGGCGACGTCCCAGTGCCTAGGGCTGCTCAGGCGGCGTAACTTTTCACTGGGCGCCTCATCCCCTTTGCGTTTCCGAGAAGGAGTCGCAAAGGCAAGCAAGAGTGCTAAGACTGAATAGCACTTGCCGTGCTCCTCCAGAACTAGTCGATAAGCCTTCCCCGCCTGTGAACCCATATGAACTGTGCTTGAGGGGCTGCTAGCAAGTTGCTCATAATTACAGCTTTGGAAGTGTGCAGGGCAGAAGATGGCCGACTGTGACCACGCCGGAAAGGCTATACGATATTCATGCATACCTTGTAACCCCGTAGCTGTTGGAGTGACATCCACAACTAAGCCAAACTTGCGGACAGTGGGACTGCTCCACAGCTCTTTCTTTGTAGCAGCCTCATCAACAAATGTGAGTTGCGGGAGGAACAGGGCTAGGATGACAAACACCTCTCGGAATGGGATTGGTGCTAAAAGGTCTCGGGCCATTTCTGTCAGCCATTGAGCACACACACTTTGATTACCTCTGCCAACCCGAAAGTTTTTCAGCAGTAGCGCATGCGCTTCTTCCATGGAGTCAATTTGCTGCCCCGCTACACAACTCTGTAGCAGCACTAGCAATTCTTGGTCAGATCGGTGGAGGTTGGACACCAACAAGCTAATGGCACCTTCCCAATCATCGCTGGTCATTACAGCTTCAAAGCGAATCCAGGAGGCCAAGCGCATGGGGGCAGCTATTCGGTCCCGGCGAGGAACCACCTCTGGGTGTGTGAGTTTTAGCGTTGTAAGACTGACCTGGCCTGCAGGGAGCTGGCACTGAAGCCAGTGCCAGTAACTATGTTTATGCTTGCCCATCCACCTTGCAGATTCTGTTACATACGTGATGTGCAGGGATCGTTGCAACATACCAAGCTCCTCCTCTGTCGGCTTCCAGTCGCACAGACAATCTTCAGCAGCATGGGCAACTTGGATGACCGCCCCGGTTAGTAACTGTTAGAAGACATAGTAACTATACTATAACCATACTTATAAGTTGTCTAACCATACTTATAAGTCACCCATTTATCCATAACCACTTAATAACTTGATCAACCATTTAGATAAAGTTAATAAAACTTCTAACCAGTTAGACGCTTTAGCTTCACTAGGTTGCTAAGTTTTGTAACCGACTTAGGCTACTTATCTAACTGGATAGGGTCGACTTAGCTAAGTCTTCTAAGTGACTTAGGTACGACTTAGCTAAGTAGCCTAAGTCGAGTTAGCTAAGTGGGTTAGTGGACTTGGCTATGTAGGCTAAGTCGACTTAGCTAAGTGGGCTAAGTCCCTGCTAAGTGTTTTTCAAGGATGGCTGATATATAGATTTTTTTATTTACAAAAGCAATTTTCAATTGACAGCCTGTGCGTATATGTGCTTTGCTTCGCAACGACACAGCATTAATTTCCAAAGGCGCGTGACAGGAAGGGCATGTTTGGGTGTGCCAGGAAGATTCCTTTATTCTCCTGCTGGGTTAGCTGAAAAGGCAAAGCCAATGGACGCTCTAAAGTTTTTAGCGGCTGGGAGAAGCGGAATTGTTTTTTGCAGTACAGGAGAGGCGTTTGTGGACTGCAGGATTGGACTTGCAAGCCATATAGACTTACTGTTTCATTCGATGTGTTTGGGACAGAGGGGTTGAAAGAACCACCTATTTGGTGTTTTCATGTCTCGCGTTTGGACGAAAAAAGGTTTGCAGTGTCTAACGCACCCTCTTGTTCATGGAGAGCTCCTGCCAATCTCAAAAGATAGATGTCATCAATTGGTGTTTTCATGTCTCGTGCTTGGACAAAAAAAGGGTTTGCAGTGTCTAACGCACCCTCTTGTTCATTAGAGAGCTCCTGCCAATCTCCAAAGATAGATGTCATCAATTTGTGTTTTCATGTCCCTCTGGGCGAGTTAACCAAAACCCTGCCATGTCAGCGAGTGCACCCTGCTACAGAGAAGCTTTAAAGACGTTTGTGTGACAATGTAATGTTGTGTGCTCACTTGCGCAAGCCTTTCTTCATGTAGTTGTTCGAATGTTTTGTTTGTCGTAGTAAATACGGTGTAATGTAAGATCTGTCGCTTTCCGCCCCGGCTTCATGTCTGGACTGGTTGCGCGGTTGCGCAGCAGCAGCTGCGGACTGACACAGGTGCGCTAGCCGCCTATACAGCCATCTCTGGGAGAAACATGGTACAAAACCCACGCAAGAGTTTGTCGCAACAACGACTCGTGTGTGACAGTGACTTGCTTTTTGGAATCTGTTGCAACCAAGTGCTTTTTGCAATCAGTGTGTGCAGTTGACTCAAGTTGGCAACTCCTGCATGTTGTGTTTGTTTGCAAGACATGATTCCAGCGTTGTTCACTCGTGTTTTTGCATTTCTTGGCTCTCAGATTTGACTGGCTCAGCACACAGCGTTTCGTGAGGGCAGTGCAGAGCACGCTTGCAGGGCTTTGCTCGCAATGAAGGATGAGGTGCGAGGCAAGATTGCGGAGTTCATCAAACGGGCCGAAGATGGTGGCCATGTTCAAACCATGAACTCGTTGTTCGGTTTCTTGAAGTCAGAGAACCTCTTGTATGAACAGCGTGTGATCCCTGCGTTGGTCCATCCACATCCAAATAATCGTGACGGCCTTGGCGTGCTTCCTAGAGAGTGTCACAGTTTGCTCAGTGACATCGGTGATAGTGGTTGGTCTTGGAAAGAAGTGAGGGCAGTTGCATGCGAAGTCTCAGATACTGATGGTGTGATGAACTTCAACCAAAAGTTGGTGCAACGTTCCCAGGGTTTGTTGCCTCCTGTGGCACCAGGAAGTGTGAAATATGCTTCACTCTCAGCCACACACACCAATATGGTGTTGCGCATGTTTGCTGCGCACCATCGACATGAAGACACCAGGTTCACAAACAATGATCAGCTTAGCTTGGAGAAGCTTCAGCTGCACGATGTCGAGTACCATGATGCTGTCACGCATGGCCTCAAGTGGGAGATACTTTCGTCGGAAGTGATGTCAGCATTTCCCAATCTCCCAAGCTTGATTCAGCTCACTTGCAACACCAGTGGCCAACTCCAAAGAAAGGAGACAGAGCTTCAGCTTTGTCTGAGGGTTTTCCGTTCATATTTGGACCAGAAGGCTGTCAAGAGTGTTGTGGGTTTCAATGATGTCAAGAAAATGCTTTTGAAAAGCAAACCAGAGTTCAAAGAATACCTACCCGATCTTTTCAACTTCGTCATGAAGTTCAGTGGGGGGGACACGGCGCCTTTCCTGCATGAGACGGTGGACATTTGTGCAGCCTGGCCCCGGCGAGTGTTGGGCCACGAGTTCTGGGAGGCCATTAACTTCCAACCCAGCGCTTTGGATCATTTGGGTGTGCTTTTTCGTGTATATATATATATATTTGTTTACACACATGTTTTTGATGGGATTTTGTACGTGTCTTCTGGTGAGGAAAGAGTCCACCATTGGTGCTGATCAGACATGCAGCCATTCAGTTGGCACTTTGTCCACTTGGGAAACTCGTTTCCCATTCAGACGTGAAGCGTCTCCTGTTGCATGAGAACGCGTCCAAGGCTGAATCGATGATACGCCAGATTAGAGATTTGGCCAAGGATCAGAGCGTTGAATGTTTGGGGTTGGTGCACGAGTGGGAGCGCGCTGCTTTGCTGTGTCTCTTAGACAGAAGGGTCCCAGGTATGGATGTGAAAGAGACTTTGGAAGCTCAAGCTGCCTTACTCACTTGGAAGGTGAGGGAAACTCTCGGAGTGAACCTGACCAATGAGTGGGATTCACATGTCACCATGTCTGGTGAAGGTGCGCGTGCTTCATCTTCGACAGGTGAGAATCCTGGGTTAGCGAGACCTGTTGAGGATTAAACACCCCTTTTGTTGTTGTTGTTGTTGTTGTTGTTGTTGTTGTTGTTGAAACCATGCGTTTTTGAGGCTATATGCTCTCACTTTTCTTGAAACATATGAGACTATGGGTTTTTTCAGACCATATATGTGCAACCGCTACTGTGACATTTCAGGATGAGGCAATACTCCAACACCGGAAAGATTGCCAATATGAAGGATCTGGTTGAAGAGATGGGGTTCAAGGTAGGGTGTCATGTCATCAGGAAAGACAAAGTCACGGCGCAAATCTTGGGTTTCAAGGATGAGTATGTTCTCCTCGATGTGAACGCGGGTGGTATGTCAGGGGAATGCCGGGTAGATGCCCAGTCATTTGTCAACAATGAGTGGACTCTCTTTAAGCCTAAAACAAAGCCTGAGTGTTTGCCAGAGTATTGGGAGCATGGCACACTGCAGAACCCCGAGATCCAACAGAGCTGCATCAGAGCCAAGATCTTGTTGGAACTTCGCAACAGCATGGGCAAATGCACTTCTGTTGTCAACCCTTCTTGCCTGAAACTGATGACAAAGCCCAAAGGCGTGTTTGCTGAAGAGAAGATTGAGAAGCACGCCCTGCGTTTGATACCATTCACCAATGCCATCTTTTCAAGAGAGCATGGAACAGAGAACCCCAACTCTTCTCAGATCAAGGTGTTTACCTTTCAGGATGAGTGGGACTTTTACCTGGTTCCAAGTGTTCAGCTCCCCAAGGAAGACAAGAAAGGCATGATCGTTCCCTTTTGGTTTGTTGGCGCGACCTACGACCCTGACATGGCTAATTGTGAGCTGGTTTGCGCAAAAGGAGCTTCATCGAAAAGCTTCGAGGGTATGACAGTAAAGATTCCTTTCGTTCGCAACACCCATGCCTTGAAGGCTGGTGATGAGTTGCTGCTCTATAAGGAAAAAGTGAAGAAACCACTCGATCTGGAACAATTGCTTCCAAACAAGAGGGTTCGCACCAAAGGAATCGTGTGATTGGGGTGATATGTGATGTTTGTTTTGGCAACTTGGTTTACTGCAAATTGCAATTAGAATGATATCACTCATTCTTTGTTGTTGTTGCCTGCCAGTTTTGACAAGCACCCCAATATAGACACACAGAGCAATTGCAGAGTTCCGCTGCGAGATGAGGTGACCAAAAACATTCCTCCATAAGCATGTACATTCATTAGCTGGAGTAGTCATGTGAAGGACTTTTTGATGCGCTTGTGTGTTTCGAGTGTATGAATATAAAATGATGCTGGTGAGCAAGGGTGAATAGTTGCTGACATATGGTGCATGGCATTTGTGAGGCTTTGGCACAGTCTAACTCGCTGACATAATTGTGAGCTTTAGCAGGGTCTGACTCGCTGGCACTCTCGCTGGCATATTTGTGTGCCTTGAGCAGGGTCTATATCTCGCTGGCCACATTGTGAGGCTTTAGCAGGGTTCAACTCGCTGGCAGATTTGATCGCCTTTCTAGACCAAAATCCAGCGATGGAATTGAAGTCCGCGAGTCGTGTCGAGATTGTGAGCCTGATTGGCTGTCGCCTTGATGACGGCGAACTTTGGGTGCCTCAGGTGCAAACCATTGGGGACTCCAAGCTCATGTTACTCTCGAAATGGGACCGCGGTCTGACCAAATTCCTCACCGGCAAGTGCTTGGACTGGAATAAGGACAAGAAGAATCTGAATAGCACTTCGGCTGGAGCCTATTTAGATCATTTGTGCAAGCTCCGGAAAGCGGCATCTCTCAAGGCAGTCCAGGATGCCCACACCAATGAGTCTGATGATGAGGTGCCGGGGCCATCTTCCAAAAGGGCCAGGCGTACTGCTGTACGTGTCACCGCAGACATGGCTCACTTCTCACCTATGGTGACGATTGAATTGCCAGCTGCTGGGGGCGTCGAAGCAAAGCCGGTGAAAGTGGCTTTTGGCACGTCAAGCCGAGATTTGTGGATGGAGGTTGACCAGTCCAACCTCCTCCATGTTGTTCTCGGCATGAAAGAGTGGGAGGCTGAGAAAGGACGTGGCAGGAAGGTCAAGAATTCTGACCTTCCTGAAGGTCCTTCGCCCTCAAAGCCACAGAGCTCTGTTTGATGATATTTTGTTTTTGCGGGGTGCGCTGGAGAAAGCTTATGGGGAAGCTTTCAACCAGCTATGGCTGGGATGGGAAAAGAGTTGGACGAACGCATGTGTTTGCTGTGGTTTGCAACCAGTTTGCTGCTGCCCTTATATTCATGTGATGGATGTGTCGGGAGCAGGACCTTTGTGAGAAGTTTGGAAACATGATTCTATTGTTGGGATTTAAAAAATCGTTTGCAGAAAACAGTGTGCATGCGCAGCTATGCATGAAGCCGCTGCTGGCGTGACAGAGACTCAAGCACTAAAGACACATTGTAACATGACTGGACACAGCAAGTATAGTGTGCATGGGTCATATCACAAAACACAGCAAGTATAGTGCGCATAGTACCTTTGCGAAAGCCACTACATACACACTTATAGACATATCTATGGCGAACTTAAACTACACCTGTCTTCAGCTACTGTGACAGTGAGAGAGAGAGAGCATGATGAGATATGATGAGAGACGGCGTGATGAGAGGCTTGCAACCCATTAACTCACTTACTGCATATTACGCATTGGTAGGTACATCGTATATTGATTTACGCATTGTTCTTTGCTTGCTCACTTCTCCGTGCGTTGTGGACGCAATGGAGGGCCCAAGTGAGAGCGAAGGTGCAATCCTGAAGCCTGGAGCCCTCATCAACAAGGTGCTGAAGAAGGAGCCAACGAAGGTGGGGTGGGGGTGCATGGGTTTAGGATGAGGTTTATGAGTCTAAGAGCTGAGGTTCGATTGAGTCTAAAGACGGTGTAGCAGTCACACTTGCCAGTGGCCTGCGTGGTCCTTTCCTCGAACGTAAGCGCACACTAAACACATCCCTTGTCCATTCAACCCAGTGCCAACAGGCAGCACTTACAGCATCCGAAGCAGATGATGATTCTTGGCTTGTTCAGTGTTTGTGACGTATGCATTCAACAAGGTAGAATGATATGCTTGGAGAAACACACTATTGTTAAACACCCCAGCGTTCAAGGTATATCATTGCAAAACATATCTCCATAGGCAGTGATTAGTCACGCCGGCAGAGACTATAGCTACTCGCCTGCGCAAAACACAACGATTGACAGCCTGGTTATAAGGAGACATGGGGCAAGTGGACCGCAGCGGAGAGGGCGCAAGCCGTGGAGAAGTCCTTCGAAGAGTTCATCAGCGGTCCAGATGAACATGTGAAGCCGGTGCCTTTGTCTGGACATAGGTGTTTTCATATGTTGTGGTTCCTGTTATATCGGTATGTTCAACATCTAATTCTGATAGCGAGTCGATCACCCTGCTAGCGAGCCTGTGCCCTGCTCTTCTTTAACCTTGTGGTTTTGATAGCGAGTCAATGACCCTGCTCTTCTAGGTTGTGGGTCTGGATATGGTCTGGTTGAAAGATATTGAAGCACCCACCAGTCTCCGGCATGTATACAAGGTACCTGACTTCCCCGACGACAAGGAGCAGGAGGTGCCTGCCAAGGTGCTGAAGATGATGCCAAAGGCCCGACCCTGGCAGCAGGGTCCAGAGGTGGAGGCATCGCCCATCCCTGGAAGGCCCAAGCCTTTGTACAAAGGCTCAGCAGCTGGCGGCTTTGGAGCAGCTGCGTCGAGTTCAGGTTCAGCGGAAGCGTGGTTGAGCAGCTGTGGAGACGGTGGAGATGGAGATGGAGATGGCTGGATGACGACAGAGTGGACGTCATGGAGGAGCGATGAGTGGAAGAGCTCTGATGACTGGAAGAGCTCTGATGACTGGAAGAGCTCTGATGGCTGGAAGAGCTCTGAGTGGAAGAGCTCTGATGACTGGAAGAGCTCTGAATGGAAGAGCCATCAGGAGATCGACACCTCGACTACCCGCCCCAACGAGCCAGAAGCACATCCCAACGATGAAGTGTATGTGCCACCTCCGCATGGAAAACGAGGACAAGAAGGGTGGTACGTCCATGGTGGATTTGTGACAGCCGACGGCATCTTTCATGGGTATCTTTGTCTGTGTGTTCAATCAGGTTTTTGGTATAGGATCGTGTGAAATATGTTTCATTGACATGCACACCTTATGAGTTCAAGTCCTCTCAACATTCACCCGTGCTCAGGTACAACGAGGGACGGACACGTCCACGCCAGCGCGCCGGCCGCTGGATTCAGAACGAACGAGCTATGCGAGATGCGATCCGTGGCTTCACCAACATGAGTGAAGCCCAGCTGTACTTCATGGGAAAGGGAAAGCGCTGAAGAATTTATAGATTTTCTCGGTGGTAGTGATGCACAAAAATATATTGATCGATATAGTCTAGATGATAGTACTGCACAAAAATATCTCGATCGAGATGTTTTTGGTGATAGTAATGCACAAAAATATCTCGATCGAGATATTTTTGGTGACATTGATGCACATAATATCTCGATCGAGATATTTTTGGTGAAAATGATGCACATAATATCTCGATCGAGATATTTTTGGTGACATTGACGCACAGAATATCTCGATCGAGATATTAGAGTGTTCATGTCAGACCAACTCAACTTGCATCAACTCAGACGATATTTGTGATAGAGGTCAGCCGGACATCAATCCTCACTGTAGAGTTTCATTTCCTCAGGGGACCAAAGCAGGCTTCAGCCTGGCCCTTTCCTGCTTTGTACGGCCTCGAGCGTGGTATGTGGAAGTGGCTGGAGGTGATGTGAACACTATACAATGAAACAATTGAACTATATACAATGGTCCGCTCTGGACATAGCTGCTTCCACAATTGCGGTAGCCTTGGCAGTTGGGCTGTGCGACTGATCACCAGGATGACTTAACATACTGTAATAGACTTTTGTATTTCTAGTGTAGCATGAGTCTACATACTCAATCTCCTGGGATCACACAATTGGCATTGCGCCCTGAAATCGGCAGCACTGGCCCCCCCTTTAGCCTGTGCATTCCACACAGGCTGCGCGGCATAAGAGTTTGAGGGCTGCTCCAATGTACATCTCTTTGTGTAGACATACAACACCTTATGATAGGTCACATCATACACCATATTGATAAATATGGATATAGTGCTGGAGCGGCCTGCACAGAGACCTTTCAGCGAACCGATCATGCGATCGCACGCCGGCAAAAAAAAGACATTGAAGTGTTGATGCGGCAACTGGTGTTCAGTGTGATTAAATACTTTTTGCAAATGTTGACATATGTTGACTACATATTTCTCAATCGTTGAACCATTGAAACTCATGAAACAAGAGGGCTTGGGTCTTCCTGATAACTCAGACTTTGATGTCAAGTGTTCTGTTGCATGTACACCATTTCCTGTATTCATAACGTTGATTGAAAATGCTTGTAGGGATTGAAACACTGTCGAGTGTTGTCTTGCGTATGTGCTTGCATACGGAGTTGAGTCTTATGGCATAACACACTGTAGTTTTGTTTGTAGAGCGTCACTGTGTGTGTGAGGTGTGGTGTTTCACGGTGGAGGTGAAACGATGTTGCGTAGCTTGCTCGGAGTTGAGTCTTATGATTGCAACACTGTATCACTGTTTTTGTTTGTAGATCAACTGTGTGTGTGAACTTGTGCCCGAACTAGAGTTGTGCCCGACCTAGAGTTGCTTAGTCCCCTCGTTTGACCATCATGGCTGATGTAAAGTCGATGAACAGCTATGCCGTTGTTTGCGGCCGTTGGAAAAAGGGTACTAAAAGCACAGAGATTGTGGTGGACAAACCGGAGTCACTTAACTGGCAAGACCTTGAGGAAGCACAGGAACCAATGAGAAATTTGTACTCTTGGGCTCTTGAGACCAGTCGCAGCTTCTTCCTGGACGACTATGTGTATGCGTATGAAGGATTGCGCTTTATCGTGCAGGACCATGCCTTTCTTGAAGGGGAGACCAGAGTGCTAGTGGAAGACATCGACTTTTATGAGCAGAAACTTGTGTTGTTTCGTCGGCGGGCTTAGACTGGCTGAGTGGTGGTGGGCCATTAGCTGACCATTGAAAAGAATTAGCTGACCATTGAAAAGAGCACTATTAGGTCATTAGCTATAGATGTGGATGTGCCAAAATCCTCTGTAGTTTGACTTTCCCCAAATACATCAACCACGTGTCAATGGTATGCCAGTGTGGCCCACGACCAGCCCATGGCAAGGTTATGTTTTGGTATGGCAGTGTATATATCACGCCAGGCAGTGCGTCGCACGCCAAACTGTACCACGCAGCAGGGCAACAAAGGGTTAGAGTTTGAGCTGAGTGGAGCTGTGTTGAACACTTGTTTCTTCAAATGGACACAGTCATTATCACAAACACGCGTTACAACTTGTTTCATTGGACGTGACATGTGTTGCACAGCTGTTTCTTCACATGTCCACATGTAGAAGAATGTGTGTCGCATCATGTTCTTGGTCATGCGCGAGATTTGGGTGCAAGTGACAAGTGTTCAGAACCACCGTGCGAAACTTGTGTCAAGCATGGAGACCATCACTACCTCCTTGAAAGCGACCCTCAGCTTTCTGGAGAAAAACATTACACCGGCAAGGGACCCCAAATAGTGTAAAGAGGAACACATGGAACATGACATCACGTGGAAGGAAAGAAGGAGCACACAGATGAAAGCACAAAGATGAGAGGAGACGGACAAGAGCACAAATGTGAGAGTGCACAGATGAGAGCAGCAGATGCGGAAGCATGTGAAAGACCAGGGGGACCAGGTGTGAGGTTATAAGAAGGAGAGTGAGAGCAAAGTAGTGCCAAAAATGCTAGGGAGTAGTATGGCTTGAAGGTCGTTGTAAAACAAAAAGCTACGACTGCAGACGCGCATGTTTTCCGCGGTGGCAAGCTGCGAGTGCGTGCGAGTCCGAGGCGAAGGGCCGCCCCAGCGCAACCGCATGGGACGAGGTGAAGGATGCAACTGTCAGCTGGTGGAGGACATCAGGACGCAAGCCATGCATCATACTCGGCATCCACGCGGCACCAAAGAACCCGGCCGCCGCGCGAAACGGGATTGGCGGCACGCGCCTC